TTTTTTCATTATTTTTAAAGATAAAATGATGATCATGTAGGCTTTACTTAATTGAGATGGAAAGAAGAAAACCGTTATTTTATTATGCTTTCGCAGATAGTTTATGTGTCAAATATTGTAGACAGACGAGTAAAAAGAAGAAGAAAAATTATTGTCGTTAATATATGCGTATGTTTCCTTCTCTTTTTCTTTCCATCTTCCTCTTTTTTATTGTATCGAAGTTTTTGTGTTTAAGGGCGTCCCTCTCAGAAAATCCAATTTTTCGGAGACGAGCCAAGGTTAAAGTTTTATCATAGGAAGATGCATCGAAGTCTTCTCTTTCTGAATATCTACGGTTTATAAAAAATAAATTGATTTTGACGAACTCATCGTTTAAAAATTTCGCTCCTATTATCATATTTTCCAAGAAAATTTCACGGTTATTTATTCCAAGCTATTTCGACTTTTTAGGTTGCTTTCTCTTGGCATCAGCATTTCGTAAACTTTTCTCTTAAATACTAGTCACTAAGAGCCTATCAAAACTTAATATTTAGGTCCCATATTTATGAACTGTCTTAAGCATTGATATATAAATCAAGTGGTCTCCGAAAAAATCGATTTCTAATACTATTTTTCAGTTTTTCCCAAAATCAGTTTTTCGAGCATGCAATTTACACGAGCAGATTTTTCTCCATTACTACCCGGGGTGGGTGTGGGTGTGAGCGTGAGAATTGTTTCCTCTTCATTCACACCCTCACCCACGCCCCACGTCCACACCCCGCACTCCACACCCACACCTTAAGCCCATAGTATACTCATTTCTTCATAATAACAATATATCTCTCAGACGCAAACAATCCGTACGCCTTTTATCGTGCGTAAGTTTCGTGGTGCGTAACTTTCAGTGCACAACTTTCGCCGTGCGCATCTTCCGGGATCCCACACACACACACCAACACTCACACTCTCAATAAGAATTAACTTACAGTCCTAACCGCTATGATATTCATTGCGAAAAGATTTTCTTCATACATCCGTTTTAAGGAGGATGCGAGTGTTAGTTTGGTTGCCGGTGAGTAAGCGTGACCTTTTATAACCAGATAGGCAAGAAAAAGAAACACCTACACCCACATCCACATGCATTTCTACACACTGCACATCGACGCTAATCTTTTTGATTTTTTTAATTATTAAATCTTTTAATTACTCGGCTTAATTTCGTCCGCATCTGAAATATGCTTGGCACATCTCTTCTCTCTGTCTAAGGAAATATGCATTCTGTTTATTCGTAAGAAAATCTAAAACTTCTTTTCTTTGTAGTCAGGAAAGATATTTTGGCCTTTCAAGCACTAGTACCGGATATGGATATACGCATAATGACATTTTTTTCTCCTGTTTGACTGATGCCAAAAGCTCTCGATTCTTTTTTTTCTTCCATTTTTATCTTTCTTCTCTCTTTTTATAACCGATATGCACTTACACGTGGGCAAGTTTTATTTTGTGGCTGTTATTTGCTTTACTTTTTTTCTGCGATAGGGAGCTTTCTTTTTTCTTCTTTTGAAAAGTCTCTCGAACAATTTCAACTGATCCGTTTTCTTTGATCTAACGACGAACGTAATACTGTTTCAAAAAGTAGGAAGAAAAGAATGCATACTATACTATTGGCTTCTTTGATACTTTTGCGACCTGTTAACTTGGCAACGCGAACGAACTTTATATGGAATGTTGGAAAAAACAAACTGATTTACTTCATATACAAATAGCCCAGAACAAAGACATGAAGTAAGAAATACGTGCTTCTAATATTTTCGGCCGCTTTTATAAAGCAGTAGTTTAGATCTTATCTTATCGAAATGTTCCGATCACTTTACTATCAAACTCGGTCGGAAATCGTTGAAAAGCTTTGAGAAATACCGTCAATTTTCTGTTCGAGATGTTATATACGTGTATAAGAAATGATCGAGCATCGTCGTTTCCAGCATGCTCTCAGACATCAGATTCCATACTTCGATAGTGTCTTCTCATTAATGAGAATGGGAGGGTGTGGGTTTAGGTATAGTTGAGTTTGAGTGAAAAGACCAACACCCACACACCGCCATGACACAAAGTGCATCCAAGTATTTCTAGTGACCCAAAATTTTCATCCGCACTAATCATTTGTACCAGAGCCCTTCATTCGGTTTTTTTAATTTTTGACTCATTTTCTTTGTCTTTAGACACTTGTGATGACATTTCTGTTCTGACGGAAGCGAATTTGATGGGTCTAGATGGATTAGATACACATGGGTGGATTGCATAGATGGGTGTGGACGAAAGGTGGCTGTGTGCGTGTGAGCGTACTCATCTATCGATCCACACTCACACTCTTTTTTCTTTGTTCTTGTTTGCTGTAGATGTCGATGCAACTCTTGTCTCAGTTTAGCAAACACTTCATACCCAGGCCCGGACCCAGACTCTTATTCACAGTTCACACCCTTGAAGAAAAACCCCAGACCATATGGAGTAGGTTGCGGGCTAGGCTGAAGCCAGCCTACTTCAACCTTCAACAGTGGACTTGTCCACTAGCGTATCTTCATGCCAGAAAGACAGAAGAAACACATAAATTTATTATATTGACGTTACGTCCTAAATGTCTCATGAATCATAAGACTTAGAATTTTGAAATTCTCTGAATAGTCCCAACATGTATAGTTTCGTATCTACTACTGTTTTTTATTTGAATCAAATAGTCGATTAGGGGATATACATGCTCATTTATCCTACATTTTTCATCGACTGCAAACTATTCGCAGATTTCTTTTGTCATTTTGACACGATGTCTTTCAATTGAAGCATCACGCTTGATGAAGCAGCTTTAGCTGGCAATTTAACTTGAACCTCACCTTTGGCGCTGTATTCTCCTTGACTAAATTCGATTCCCTCAACTTGATCACGAATTTGTTTTCCATTAATAGGTAAATGATAGAGAGTACCAACCAAAATGAATATATCTTCAGGTCGCAGACTTTCAGTTGTACTTTCTAAATTTCTTTCATCTTGTATTGTTTTTTTGAATCGTTCCATATCATTCATAAAGTCAGCCATTAATTTCTCAAGATTATTAATGACTTCAGTATTGCGAGCACCTACACTCTGCTTCAACTGTTCTTCACGAATAAAATATCGAATATAATCAGGAAAATCATCATTAATTGGAAGTATTGCATTTCTATGAAGAAATCGAGTAAGCTCTTTATAGACATCTTGAATTTGTTTTTCTTCTTTTCTTAGATTTTCAATACGTTGGTCAATGTCATTTAAAGACATTTCTTCTTTTGATTTGATATAAGTACGATGTATATGACACTCGTAAGTGGGGTGCTTATGTTGCGTCCAGTCACAACCGCATACTGAGCAGGAACCTGAATAAAAAGAAAAAAGTTCACATCAAAGATGCATAATTGCAGTATCTAATAGAAGTAAAAATTTCAATAAATAAAGCAGAAATACTCGTAATCCGATGTGGAACATCTTCTATGGATCGTTAAGAAAAAACATTTCATTTTATTCTTTGACAATACTTGTCTAGTCTGATTTTCCATTGATAGGCATAGGCGCTAAACTATTATAATTATTTTTCATATTATCTTTCACCTTTCATCTGGTCATCTCAATGTTTGTTCTTTTTCACGTTTATATTGCATGAAAATGGAGCAAACTTTCATTACATTCCGTCAAGACCATAAATAACCTATATCGAGTTGTTTTCTTTTCGTCTGTTTGGCTGATACTATTCTGCATTATTCAGTTTGTTCAAATATTTTCAGATCTGTTAAAAAAGGTCAATTTTACAATAGCTATAAGAATGAGAAAACGTCTTAATAACAATCTGAATCGACCCCTCTTTACTTGAGAATACTCAAAAGTGTTTTAATGGACGTGCTATATTTACACAACGAGTCCTTAACATCGAACTACAGGGATCGGCTCATAAACAATATGATCTGATGTAGGCTCAGTGTAAAAACGCGATGCACATGGTAATGATTGATTCGCGCATTTTGTCAATGCTATCCGAAGACATCTCTAATAACATGTTCTTTTACAAGAAGCTTATTTCACGCTGCTAAAACGAAGCTCTCCATCTCAATACATTAACCTCATGCTATTCGAGAGTTTGTAGTCATGTTAGAGAACAAAAATCATCTTTCGTAAATTCTTTATCGAACAGCAGAATATCTTAATTTAGACATAAAAAACACGAAGGCATTGCCAAGAGTTTAGTATCAACTCCCATATCTCTGTAGTTCCTACAAAAAATCAACTGATTCTGCATGTTTTATATATTCATTCTTTGTTGGTACTGATATCTGTTAAGAAAAAATACTGACAACTACTTTTGACTTATGCATTGAATAATGAGTCTTGCATTTCGTGCGTAACGTTTATGCTTCTATGATATCACATGTTATTTGACGTACATTTTAAAATTTATAAATCATTCAAGTAATAATAAGAGAAGATGTGAAATATTTTACCGTTATCAGGATCCATCACTTCACAATATTCTAGTTCCGGATCACTTAATCTTTCTTGCACGACACCTTTTAAATAACATACATCATGGCATATAGATCGATATTCCATTTTTGTTTCATCACCTACCAGAACGGCTTGACGGCACTTATCACTCATGCACACTGTTCGTGGATTTTGTAATGGTTTAACTGCAGCTTCATTCTGAGGTATTCCTTCTAATACAATATCAGGATTATTAAGCACTTTCTTTTTACATTCTTTGGCAAGTTGAATGTTTTCCTCGATAAGTCTTGCTATTTCAGCAATTGGTCGGCTAAGCTTCCGAATAAGCTGTTCAGCTTCATTTAACGAAAGCGTTTTTTTTACACCATGAAGCGGACGTGTAGCAATGAATTTCATTAGACGTGCGTATTCTTTGACAGAATGATCCCAACTTCTAATGTAGCTTAGTGTTTGTTCATTATCTAGTTGAATACCATTTTTACGTAATGCTAAGTAACGAAATGACTCACTGTCAAAGAAAAATGTATTTTCTTTGACAAATGGAACCTCGACGTTGTGATCCTCTCGATGCTTCTTTAAAAGCCCTCGAAGAAGTTTGTTTGTGGTACCTGGTGTGAAGAAAGTTGATCGTGCATTTGTAAAAACAAACATGATATTATCTTTAGCACCGACGTGTAAATGTCGAAGAAGTTCGTTGACACAAAATCGAAAGAATATAGTCAACCGTTCTTCGTTCGGTTTCAGCAAGATAAACACTCCATTCAAATGTTCATACTGAGCAATAAAAGTTAAGATTTCCTGAAAATTTTTCGAATCTTGATCAATACTTCTTGTGTCACCGATGCCTGGTGTATCGATAAATCGTAAATTTCGATCACCAATCGGAAAAATGAAACTTCGACATTGCTGTGTATTTGAATGACCTGCGTCACTAAACTGTTCATATTCGTTTGCCTGACCAATAACGATCGTTCTATCGACATTTTCATCGTTCTCATCATTGATAGTATAAGAAAAAGAAGATGGAATAACGACTTGCATTTCATCATTGACTGCATCGATCAGAGTGTCATTAATCATGTAGTTGGCGAAAGCATTAATGAATGTTGATTTTCCGACTCCTGTTTGCCCTAGTAATAATATATTTATTTCTTGATCACGACGACAATTTGGATTTGGTTTTAAATGAGATGGTCTCTGCGCTGAAAATCTTTCGTTCATTTTGATTGTTGTTGTTATTTTGTTTAAAAATACTAAAATGAACGAATAATAGTGAAAAAAGACTTTCAGATTGCTACAATTCCATGAAATATTTTTTCTCTCATGTGTGTATTAAAATGAGTGATCAAATATTGTAGTGTCAAGTTGAGGACTAGGATAAGTATTCCAATAGCTCATCTGTCACTGTTATCCATTTTCAATCTTACGAAAGTATATCTATATGAGTAAATTGATAGAGTTATGTCTAATATGCATAAAAATAATATTTTCCCAATGTTTGCTTGTGTCGGAGATGATTCCTACATTTGAGTGCTATGTAATCATTAATCTTATTGTACAAAAAATTTCAAAAAATGTCGCTATACATAGTTAGTAAAACTAATTTCCCTCTCTAACGGAAAAAAAGATTTTTGCATAATTTTTTCAGACATTACTCTACTAGATGAGTTGACAAAATGATGAAATTTTTGTGGGAAATGATTTAGTTTCTATGAAGTTATAACAATAACAAAATTTAACTAGCCGCTCGACATGCAGCATAAACATTATTTAGACTTTGTATGAAACTTTTGTTTGAAGAAAGTTTCAGCAATGTTCACATTGCCAAAAAAGTAAATTTTCCTCATAAATTATCCAGCTTCAGAAATTACTTTCACAGAAATACAATACCAGTTGCAAAGTTCGGAAATTATCGTAATTAGCATTACAACGATAGAAAGGAACCGTTATGAGATACATCCCTTTCCAGGAAATTTCAGTAATTTCCGAAATTTCCACCTGTTTTTGGGGTAGGGTCTCATTTTCATTGTATGAATATATAAATATTCATGTAATATATTGTGGAAAATTTCCTGGTAATTTTTAGTAGGTTGCTGGTTGTTATCTTCGACGAATTACTTTGGTACGATGGAAATTTCCACTGTTGAAGAAATATACTTTTATGAAAATCTGAACGTACCTCATGTATAGAAGGTTCGACGGTCGAAAATTCGAATGTCGTGCAACTTTTTATTGCATTAGCTGAAGGACTGACGAATGAAAAAAAATGACATGTTTTTTTTTTCTGTATGCTTGTGTCTTGTCGAATGACGTTGTAAAAATTTTTACGAGAACAATGGCGCAAGACTAGTGAATTTCTGTCTATCTCACATGCCTATTCTTTTCATTGTGCAAAAAAATAGGATGAACCAGATCGAACTCATAAATTAGATTACAGTATTAACTTTTTGTTAATTGCTTTAAAGTGAATTACTTGCATATAAACTTCTTATTTTAAGTGAGAGTTTTCGAACGATATATTTGTCAACAATAAAAGAACTCTTTCGACAGGTTATAAAATTAATATCAACCTTTTTTTTGGCTCTTATCTTAGAAAAAACATTGTATTTTTCTCAGACTGTAACTGTTTAATTTGTAAATTTTCTTTCAATTACCTACTCGTTACGGTCTCATTCAAAGGAAGTATATGTTAAAATAATATTCGGAAGTAGTAAATGTTGGCATACGTCATGTGTTGGACAAAACTCGAAGTTTAGAAGTAAAAGAAAATATTACATGTGAAAGCATGCTTTTTTATTTTCTTCAACAGTGTGCAGTCATCATAAGAAAGAAAAAGAACGTTTTTTTTCTTCCTACTTTCCATTTCATAAGATATCAGATTATATTTTTCTAGGACGCTTTCAACAAAAGTCAAGGAGATAACCTGTGCTATTTCTTTCGAATGAGAAGAGTTTAAAACGTGAAAGAGAGACAGGTGACTTTACTGCTTAAATCGGTTGAGTTAGTTGGTTAAATTGCCACATGTGTATCGATGTGCCTTTTCTTTCTTTTTTTCTCTTGTTTTCGTTATTTTGATTCTTTCATCTCATCGTTTTATCTCCTGCCCTTCTTTTTCATGTCTATCCATCTTATACTTCTCTTTTCGCTTCCTGTTATTCCTTTCTGCTTTAGTACTGTCTTTTTTTCTCAGTTTTTTTTTATTTCATTATTTCTTTCCACTATTATGAAATGTATAGTATGCTAACCCAATATCACTTAGATAAACGTTTATGCATGTAGGTCTAGATTCTTACGTGGTGTAGTGCTAAATTTTAATTTTTTTTTCTTTTTCTAAGCGCTGTCCGGCGAAACAAAAATAAACAGCAATATCGAAATAAAAGACATCAGATGAAATATTTCCTTCAATCAGTCTTTCAATTGACGCAGTTAGGTATTGGCTTGGATGATTGGAGAACGTACTATCATACCCACCCGAACGCTACAATCACATCAAACATATTCTTGCTGAGAATCAGCGGACTGCACGATTTTCTATTGTTTTTATTGAAACTTTTCTGCGCAAATGATAGAAGCTATTCAAGTAGTTACCGTGTGTAAATACATCGTCTCTTTGTGAAAAAGAACACAGAAAACATGCGCATCGATCAATTTTTGTTTTCTTGAGTGTGGGTGCGAGTTTTAAATTCTTTCACACCCACCCACACACCCACATCCGCGAAAAATGAGTATTGGAATGGGATGAAGGAAAGTCTACTACTCACAATCACATCCCAAAGCCCAAATTCACGCCGTAATTAAGACCTGCATCTCACAGCGTGGAATATTAGTCCCTGATTCCGTTCGCTGGAGCCTTGTATCCGGCGCGGTTTCTCATTTCTAGGAACTCATAAACTCTATTGTGACTTGACCCAAAATGAAAGAATACGTATCGTTTAAAATCTCAAGATAGTCAAAATATATGGAAAAGAATTTTCAAATGGATTCTCGTGTCTCAGGAATGGAAACGAGTGAAACGGGAATTCTGACACCCTTATCTCACACCTAAACTTAAGCCAAAAGTGACACACACACGAAGATTCTATTTTATACAAAATTCTGTTTTGATAAACTGAATTTCGCCAAACAAATTCTCTCGCAAAAAATTTCGACCAAAACTACCGAGATTGTGTAATTTTATTATAAACAAAGCATGCATCATGAAGAAGAAGAAGAAGAAGAAGGAAAAAACCGAAACAAAAGTCGATCGCGTCATAATTCATGCT